GACATGTTGTGCAGGTGGGATACTGCTTGTCTAGTATATATGGGAGTCTGGGTTTGATTCCCAGCACTGCATAAAAACATACAGGGTAGCATATAATCCCAGCACTTGGGAGATAGCATCAGGAGGATCTGAAATGCAAGGTCGCCCTCCCTGCATGTTGCAGATGACTCAGCAGGTAATTTTCACAGAGTCTGCTGGCCTGAGTGCAGACCCCAGGACCGCATGGTAGAAGGGGACGGCCACCTTCCTCAGGTAGCCCTCTGGTCTACACATACGCACCATGCGAATAGATAAGAAAATCAATATAGATTCTTCAAAACTAAAAGTAGAATTACCATGTGACATCGTACACTCGTGGGTATACTTGCCAAACTCTACAATGTATTACACAGACATGTTTACTAGCACATGCATGTTTCTGGAAGCCATATTCATGAGTCAAGTTAAAGAATCACCCTAGCTCTCCATCAACAGATGATGGATAAAGTATGCTATATATGCATAATGGAGTTTTATTCAGCTATAAAAAAGGAACATCAGTTACAGGGCCATCTGCTGGAGATGACTATACCAAGTGCAGTAAGCCAGACTAAAAACATCAATGTTGTCTCATTTCTAGAGCCTAGATTTTATATAAATATATAAGATTATTTACAGATACATGGGTAGGGCATGAAAGTAAGAAGGTATTCTATTGGTAGGAAGGGAACTAGTGGGCCTGGGGGAGAGGAGGGGAGCCAGGAGGCTGTGGGACTGAGTATAGGCAGCAGGCTTGGTGTGCTGGGGTGAAGATATTTTTATGGAACCTATCACTATGTACAGAGTATGTGCCAGTGAAAACTTTTGAGGAAGTATTTCTAGATGAAGAGAGTTGGTTTTTGAGATGCTTTGTTTGGGCTTCTGAAAATATGCTGTGTGAAACGTCCCCTCTCACTGCCCGGGCATGAACAGACTGTACTGTGTGACTTTAGACAGGGAGAAGGAGATCATCCGCCAGGCAGCTCTGCAGCAGACCAAGGAGATGGACTTGAGTGTGGTACGCCTCATGTTCACCGCCTTTCTTCCCGACAGCACCGGCAGCTTCACCCGGAGACTGGAGCCCGTGGTGTCAGATGCCATCTACGACAGCAGTGAGTCCCTTCGTCGAGCGTCACTAAGATCAGACACAGCCCCACCTGAGCACTGACTAAAGCACTGCGGCCTGTAGACAGGGACTCGGTCACTGGAGCTCTAGTTGACTGTCCACAAAGTGACTACCTCAGTCTAGGGTAGAGGGCTGCTGTCCGTTTAGGCGTCTTGAGCCTTACCAGCCAACGTAGTGCTCTTCCTTCAGAAAGCAGATTATATTCTTTACATATAACACCAGTTTCTCCCTTCTGAACACATGACTGTAGGATAGATTGCTGGCTCTTTAAAATGGCCTTGTTATTTGCCCCTGGCAGCTCAAAAGAGAAATAAAAGACTTACTTTTAACTGTCCTTATTCCCACTTGGTAAAACATTAAGACAGGAACTTTGGGGTAACTGAAGAAATAGCACATCAAAATTCTCTTTCAGTCTGTAGATAATGTGGAGGGATTCCAGTAGTCTTTAGCATTTACTGTGTGTAACTGTTGGGCTTAATAAACGGTTCCTTTAGGAACCCTGCCAAGTACAGCAGACTGAAAGAATATAGACTATAAAGTACTAGAAAAACCCATGTCCCCCCATCCATCAGCCAGTTGACTTGTCTGATTTAAACAAGGGTAACGGGAAGTGAATAGTTATCAAGTGAAAAAGAGTCAGGCTTACTAAACAGAGAACCTTAAAATGCAGCTGTTGGAGTTTTTAAAGGGGAAGCTTCATATTGCTTGCTGGTACAGGCAGCTTTGCCCCAAACCACACAGAATGCTAATTTTGTTTGGGAAAAGGAAATAAAACATCTTCATTTTTCTTTGTAGATTAAAAAAAAGGTAGTTAACAAATGTACTTGTCTAAAAACTTTTAGGACTTTTGTAAACGACATAAAATTCACATGACACCAGTCATTGGGCTTGCAATTCTGACACGTCAGGAAAACTTCCTTCCCAGCCTGCATGTCAGGAGAAACCAAAAGCCATCATCCGTTCCTCGCCGGCTCCCTTCTGCCTCACCTGTTTGGGAGATAATGAGTGGCCCAGGCCCAAGTGCTCCAAGGACATTGGCAGCTATCCGGGCTCTACTAGTGTCTTTGTAAAGCAGTAGGAGCGAGCTCATCCGTGGAACTTTGTGAAACCAGGGTAAACTAAGGTGCGCCTTGCTTTCTCCCTTTGAACAGAGGCCCCCAATGCATCCAACCTGAAAATTGTACGGATGGACAGAACCGCAGGGTGTGTAACTGGAGGAGAAGAAATTTATCTTCTCTGTGACAAGGTTCAGAAAGGTATGTGAACATCCCAGTCTCCAGAAACGTGCTTGTCAGAGTCCTCTGTGACTTGCTGCCGGTGGACCCGGGGTGTTCTCCTTTTTGCTGTGGGACCTCGCAGAAACATTTCCAAGTGTACAATGTGTTATTTTTGTAAAGCCTGAGTATATAGTTCAGTTTTCCCTCAAAAGTAAAAGGATAGTGATTATACCAAGAACCGGTGAGGGTACTGATAATTAATAATTAATACTTAATACTTAAACTTTGTTCCTGGTACTCAATTAAACTAAGGTAACTTGTTTTCTGAGATTTACATAACATAAAACTACAGATCCTGCTACTTTTCTGTGCTGTGTTGTAATATGGAGAGAGCTCCCCCAGTCCCTCCCGAGTGTCACTATGACGCCCAGTAGGAAAAAAGATGACGCATATACGGTCCTCAGCATACTTCCCTCAGTTTGCACTTTGAGAAATTCTCAATGTTTACTGTCACTCCATGTAGCAACATTGGAGAATTAGTAAGAGCTGAAGAAGTTACTTTCCCAAATTTTGTTTTAAATAAAACTACAAATAAATATTTATTTTTAAATGAGTTTGCTTAGACTGTTGTCTTAGGGATTCTGTTGCTGTGATAAACATCAGGTCATGATCAAAACCAGCTTGGTGGGGGGATATTTTGTCTCTCAGTTTATAGTCCATCATCCAGGGACGACAAGACAGAACTCAGGACAGGGCCAGCAGGCAAGATCAGATGCAGAGGCCCTGGAGGAGCACCGCCTGCTGACTTGGTCCTCATAACTTGCTCTGCCTGATAAAGCACCCAGGACCGCCTGCCCAGGGGTGACACTGCCCACAGGAAACTGGTCCTTTCTGTAGTTGGCTTTTCTCTCTTTTGCTCTTTGGGGGCCCACCACCTAGCTCCCAAATGGAGGCTTATTCTTTTTTATAAATGCCAAGCCTTGGCTTGTTTCTTGCCAACTTTTCTTAATTTAAATTATCCCATCTATCTTTTGCCTCTGGGCTCTTACCTTTTTCTATGTCTGTATATATTTTCTTTCTTTCTTACTCCATTTGCTGGCTTTGTAGCTGGGTGACTGGACCCTGATGTCCTCCTCTCCTCCTTTTCTTGCTCCTTTTTCCTGTTTTTCTCCTTTTATTTATTCTGCCAGCCACACCTATCCTTTCTCCTGCCTTGCTATTGGTCATTAAGCTCTTTATTAGACCAATCAGGTGTTTTAGGCAGGCAATGTAACTAACAGTTTCACAGAGTTAAACAAATGCAGCATAAAAGAATGCAACACATCTTTGCATCATTAAACAAATGTTCCACAGCATAAACAAATGTAACACACCTTAAAATAATATTCTGTAACACCTTCCCACATTATCAGTCAAAAACAAAATGTACCATGGGCCAGTTTGGTAGGGACATTTTTCTCATTTGAAGTTTCCTCTTCCAAAATGACTCTGGCTTGTGTCAAGTTGTCATAAAACTAATCCCAGCATGACTAGTATTGATATACACCCAACCCACTGAACTGAATGAAGTCATATTTTATTTCCAGACCCCTGGCTATATGTGCCATGGGTAAAATTATTTGTATTTAATTCTTAGTATTTATCATTACACTGAAATGTCTCAACATCAGAGGCCTTAGAAGACTATCTTATTGTGGGTGTTTTTTATCTCTTTTTGCTTTCTGTTCTTTTTGAGGGACCCACCACCCAGCTCCCAAATAACACACATACACCCACACACACAGAGGTGTATTATTACTTATGAATTCCCAGTCTTAGCTTGTTTCTTGCCAGCTTTTCTTAATCTAAATCACCCTATCTATCTCTTCCCTCTGGGCTTTTATCTTTCTTCTGGACATCTTTCCTTCTTCCTTCGTGGCTGGCTGGGTGGCTGACTCCTGACGTCCTCCTCCTTGTTCTCTGGTTGCTCTTCCTTCCACATTCCCTCTATTTATCCTCTCTGCCTGCCAGCCCCGCCTATCCTTTCTCCTGCTTCGCCATTGGCCGTTCAGCTCTTTATTAGGACCACCAGGTGTTTTAGACAGGCAAAAGACCACAGCTTCACAGAGTTAAACAAATGCAGCATAAACAAAAGCCACACACCTGAAAATAATATTCTGCCACACCATCCACTTCATACTGCCACAGTGACTTGTCCACACAGTGTTCCCCCTACAGTCCTGGTTAAGAAAGTGGGCTCATAACCCACCCTTGGGTGCCAGTTCCTGCTCTGTAGATCCTGCACTGGGAGAAACAACTAGGAATGGCAAGCCACACCTTGGAGAGACATGTGTGGCATTCCCAGGGCCAGCCCTTAATGGCAGGAGGTTATCTCCAGAATGTGAAGCTGGCCCCAAACTTGAGTGCACTAGACCTCCTCATTCCCTCTCCAGAACTGGAAGACTTCCTAACAAAAGATGCCACCAGAAAGTGAAACATAACTTGTCGTCAACACAGTCCTGGCTCTGAGATTTCTGTGTATGAAATCCCTCTGCCCAAAGGAGGTGCTGGGCCCCAGAGGCTCATTGCCTCCTCTGTGAAACCATGCTGTTGGTAGTTCTGCAGAGGCGCCACCAAAGAACAGAAAACCTTGTGAGAAGTGCTGTGAAAATGGTCAGCATTTGTAGTGACCCAAGAGTTTACTCCACACTGTACAATGAAAATCAAAACATGATAAACTGATCGTTACTGTCATAATACAGTTGTAGTTCCCCATCACATACATACGTAAAATGAAAAGGATTGGAGGTGGGATAAAGGGAGACAGACAGACTATGCAATTGACAGGTGTCTTGTTCTGCTAAATCCAGGATAGACCTATCCAAAGGCAAAGAACTGGGTCAGATAACAATGAGATAGTTTATACATCCTATATATCTAAAATTATATTAAAATAGCAATATCAACTTTCACCAGTCAGTAGTGTGGTCCTTCATATGAACTGAGAATTACATGTCATATTTCTGCAGAGCTAGAGTCCATGACTAGAGAGTAACAAACAAACAAACAAAAACCCTCGTAGTTTCATCACAAAAAGGCATGGTCATCATGGCGCTTAAACAGTTGCTTAAAGGAGTAAGGAGGTAGCGTGTGGAGGTGGTACTGCAAAGCATGTGAGAGCCAGGACTGGGCATCTGTGATGTTTACGTCCTGATCCTTCATCTATTAGCTATTCAACCTTAGATAGCCTGCTTAAGACACGATGTGGGGCTGACAAGATGGCGCAGAAGCAAAGGCACTTGTTGTCATCCCGACAACTTGCGTTCAGTCCCCAGGATCCACGTGGTGGAAGACTACCACCTCCCGTTACCCTCTGAGCTCTGGATGTGCCCGCACTACACGTGTGTACTCCCACGCATGTGCACACACCAGTAAACCCCAGATTCCCGTCTGCAGATGAGGACAGCAGATGAGGACAGCATTAGTGTACCTACCTCACAGGACTGGTTTAAGGACTAGATGAGTTAGCATTTATAAGAAAGCACTTAGGACAGCATCTGCCGTGTAGGAAGCTTCATTTATGTCAAGTGTTACAGTTTGCATCTCCATAATGGATTGAGTTACACCTATGGGTTCTGTTACCCTTCCATCCTTCAAGTTTCCCAGAAGAGAACTAGTTTAAGGGTGGAAAAGTGAGAAGTTCATATGTTGACTAAGACAAAGCTTAATGGATTGGGTAAATGTAATGTTGCTCATACCACTATGAGTAAATGGTAGATCCCCTTCCTGGAGTAAATGTGTGAAGAGTCTGATCTGTGAAGCTTTAAATGGTGCAAATCTGCTACTAATTCTTTTCAAAGCATTTGCATTTACATGAGGCAGAGTTATGTGCTGCCTGCATTTGCTAGTATGTGCATCAACATTCTTACACCCATTGCAAATCACGTGCCTGAATGTGACCGTTTGCAGACGACATCCAGATTCGGTTTTATGAGGAAGAGGAGAATGGTGGAATTTGGGAAGGATTTGGAGACTTTTCCCCCACGGATGTTCACAGACAGGTAGGTGGGTTATTGTCACTACGGGTTTAATTTTACCGGTTCTGCCTTGATGAAATTCATTGCTCGGTTTCCACAGATTGAAAAAGAAACCACCGTCTCTTTAGCATCCTTCCAGCAATGCTATTTTTATGACTTCCAGAGAAGTGCCCTACCATAGAGCTGCGGGCTAGGTGCCGCTGGAGCATTGGCTCAGGGAGCCTGGCGTGGTGCCTCATTTGGTGTCTGTCGTTTAGGTACTGAAGGCAATGGCCCTCAGTTCCTCCCGTGAAAATGTGTAGGCACTGGCCATTCTGGCAAAGCCTGAGAAAAAGGAACTGTGTGAGGAGGCTGAAGGCAGAGGGGGCCACCCTGACGAGCCAGGGTCTCCAGCTGCACCTCATCAATAGTCACTCTTCCAGGGTGACTGAGGAAGTGTTTTCAGGAACTTATCGACAGCCCAAATATTCACCAGTAAGTGGCTAGACAATGGCGTGCTTCTGTGTGGTGGAGTATCATGCAGTTACTAGAAAAGGGGAGTCTGAATGAACAGGGACCTCAAAGTAGAATGGTAAGATTTGTAAAGGTCGAGAGCATAGTGCACACAAAACAGTTCAGTGTTCGAGCGCACAGGATGTGCACTGAAGGAGTGGTGCATGGAGATGGGGAGGTAACAATTATCAGTGCGTGCCGCTGTATTCCTCCTGTGTTTGTGAGTCTTGAGCCCTGTGGATATAAAGACAGAAAAAACAAAACTAAGAATGCCCGGTGCCTAACTGTCCCAGCACTCCCCAGAGTTGATCCATGTTGCCTCCAGCACGGCTACTTTCCTGATGGCATGCTGCCTGGCCCCCTGGCTCCATCTGCTCCCACACCCAGTCTTTCACACACTGCTCTGAACGATCATCGCGGAAGCCTTTAAGGCTAATTTGAAAGAGAAAGAGCTAAGATGTGTTAATTAAAATAATTAACCGGCATACTGTTGTATTTTACTTTCACTGGGGCAATATAATAAAAATGTTTGCTGGGCCACGATGGCACATGCCTTTAATCCCAGCATTTAGGAGGCAGTCAAGTGGATCTCTGTGAGTTTGAGACCAGCCTGGTCTACAGAGTGAGTTCCAGGACAGCCAGGGCTACACAGAGAGAAACTCTTGTCTTAAAAATAAATAAATAAATAAATAAATAAATAAATAAATAAATAAATAAAATGTATGTGTGTAACATACTGACTGGAACTTTGCCAAGGGCTGGGTCTTAGCACACTCTAAGCTTAGAGTACAAATGTATGCATATGGAATGTGCCTCTCTCTCACCACTAGAAAACAAACGTCCTACACCCATGTTTGGGTTTTTTTGTACCCTGCAGTTTGCCATTGTCTTCAAAACTCCAAAGTATAAGGATGTCAACATTACAAAACCAGCGTCCGTGTTTGTTCAGCTTCGGAGGAAATCGGATTTGGAAACTAGCGAACCGAAACCCTTCCTCTACTACCCTGAAATCAAAGGTACCGGGGTTGTTTAGACGCTTGCGCTTGCTCTGAGAGCTCAGTGGGCCTCCTCCTTCCACAGCCTCCTAGGCAGCGCTGCCTGGACGAGAAGTGCTCATTTTTAGAGACAAGAAGGCAATGTATCGAGGTCATGGAATTAACATGGGGTAACCCCTTGTGATACAGTGATTGCGGCCAAACTTGTAGGAATTTAGACATTGGGCAACTTACCTTTGAATATTAAAATCTAGTATTGAGCCGGGGAGGTGACTCGGTGGGTTACAGCACTTGCCGCCAAGCCTGATGACCTGAGTCTGGGCTCCAAAACCTGTGTGGTGACAGGAGAGAACTAATTAGCAAAGGGTGACCTTTGACCTCCGCTGCAGCATGTACACAGAAAGAAGAGGATCAGTGAGGGAGGAGGAGGGAGGAAAAGGAAAAGAGAAAAGAAAGGCTGGAATGTGTTTTCAGCCGCTCAATACCCCCTCAAGTATTAAACAGAAAACTCGGCCACCATACAGTGCAGAACTAGAAAGGAAACTATGCTTTTCCTCAGGACAAGATCCAAGGACTCATCAGGAAATCTAGACTATCTTTAAAATGCAGATTATGATATTTTTCTTGAGATGTTAGGCATCGCACTCTGGGCCTTGTAGATGCTAGGCAGATGCTCTACCCCTGAGCCATAACCCCAGTTCTCCAGTTATAGCGAGCCCCAAAGCAAAGCACCCACAAACCACGTGAAGTTGTAGAGGAAGTGGTGGTGGTGGTGGTGGTGGTGGTGGTGGTGGTGGTGGGCTGTTTTGGTTTTATTGTTTGGGGGTTTTTATGTTATTTTTACTCTTTACTCTTGGGCTCTTTTGAGGGGCCTGCCACCCAGCTCCCAAATAAATAAACATGGAGACTGATTCTTGCTTATAAATGCCCAGCCTTAGATTGACTCATTTCTAGCCAGCTTTCTTAAGTTACCCATCTTTTACCTCTGGGCTTTTACCTTTTTCTGTTTCTGTATATCTTTCTTTCGTACTCCATTGCTGGCTGGGTGGCTGGGACCTGACATCCTCCTCTCCTTTTCTTGTTCCTCAGTCTCTCTTGCCTCTTGATCTCCTCCCAGATTTCTCCTATTTTTTCTCTCTACCTGCCAGCCCCACCCATCCCTCTCCTGCCTCGCCATTGGCTACTCAGCTCTTTATTAGCCCATCAGGTGTTTTAGACAGGCACAGTAACACAGCTTCACAGAGTTACACAAATGCAATAGAATAGAATGCAACACATCTTTGCATGATTAACAGTGTTCCACAGCATAAATGAATGTAACACATTTTAAAATAATATTCCACAACAAGGAAACAGTCCTGGATCCTGTGGTCTAAAGAAGTCTTCAAAAAAAAAAGTTTTCTTCATTGAGAAGCCATTTGGAACATGATTGAAGATGACTAAAAGTCGAGGCTTCCTCTATTAATGAAATAGATGCTCAGGGGCAGAGGTGTGACAGCTGGTGTTAATTCTGGGAGAAACAATCCCTGTAAGTGCTGAGATGGACTGAGGAAGGCTAAGTCAGGTGAGGGAGGCCAGGGCCAGGCTGTGTGCAGCATGAAGGCTTTTCCATCAACTCTAGAGTGACGCTAAACCTGCCTGTACTACTGTCTGGGATGACACCGTCAGAATGATGCAGGAATCCAGTGGTGCTTCAGTAGGGTTAGGAGAAGTTCCGGTGCCTGGGGGTGAGCATCCAGCAGACCCTGCCCTGGTGGCGCAGTGGAGACCTGGGCCTTGGGGGAAGGGAAGTAGAAGAGAGACTCAGAGTCATAGATGGTTCTAGCATTTCCAGACTGGGAACTTAGGGTGTGGTTAAGTGGATAGGAGAATCAGGGGACAGAAGAGTCAGGGTAAGAGAGAAGCTCCATTCAGCTCAGGTCTAGTGCAGGATGGAGCCCAAGCAAAGGCGCGGCCCGAGTAGGTAGAAACTCGGCGTTGAGAAGGATCCCAGCCCCGCAGAGTTTAAGTGCAGGGGCAGGCAGTACCACAGCCAGCCTCTTTGTACCCCTTTTTTCAAAGTTTTTTCTTGAAATCCATGGTTCTGAGAGGAGATCCTTGGAGGTTATACAAAGAACTGAGCTCCAGCAAAATCAGCAATGCCTGGGTCAGGGAGTGAGGTGGAGAGGAGGTCGGCAGCCTGACTGTCACTGGATGCAGGGTCCTAGCTGAGGTTGGGAACCACAGAGGGGCAGCCACGCCGAGCACCCCCTCCCTACCCCCAGTGCTGGTTCCTTGAGGACAAAGTGTGACGCTGAGCCAGAATCTGCTGTGGCAAACCGTTTAGAAAGCGTTTCTGAGAGTCCATGCTTCTTTGTGAGGTGTGACCACTGCTGGGTTAGGGTCATGGTACATCCCATGGCTGGCCTACCTCCTTCCTTCCTTCCTGGCTTCATAGCTTCTAGATCCTTCTGTCCACAGCAGGCAATGTGAAAATCCATGCCTTACCTGAAGCCCCTGCCCTCTGAAAATAAGAGAAAAAAAATAGTCTCCCCCCCCAGGGAAAAAAATAGAATTTATCCCCTGAAATATGCCTTTAAGATAAATGTCATCTTTCCTGATGCAGAATCATGAGAAAAAAAGAAAAACACACAGGTTAGCTACACAGGATGCGAGTGAGCCTAGAAATGTTCGGAGCTTGACTCCCAGCCTCGCTTTCTGTCTGCATCAGGAAAGTAAAGGGCTAGCTTCCTGGGCTCTCCACCTCAGCAGAGCCGGGGCTGTCTAATGCCTGGCTTGGCGGGTGAGGTTCCTTGACAACCTCCAGACACACCGTTTGGCCATCATGAACACAAAGACAAACAAAGCTCCATAGAACACAACACTGTAAAAATTATCTGGAGAAGTAAGTGGCCACTGGCCTCCAATGGCTGCCGTGTGCCCACTGTGATCAAGTTGCTGTGTCAGAGCTCGTACCTGTGGGTAGTAGATTTCCTTGTTTTATTGTTTTAAAACATTGTAGATTTTTTTAACTGTTTTATTTTTCTAATGTGTAGGCACCAGAGTTTTGCCTGCATGTATGTTATGCCTGGGGCTTGAGGAAGCTAGAGGGGATCCCTGGAATGGGCGTTTCAGAGTTGTGAGTTACATGTGAGCGCCAGCGTAACCAGAAAGGCTACCATCAAAACATTGCCTCTTGTTAGCATCCTGAATCGTTGGTTGACACTACTTCTTACTGACACTTCTTGGGGACAGCTAGGATATCAAGTGGGTGTGGTGACGGGGGTGAGGAGATACTCAAGGACCTTCTGCACTCAGGCAGAGAACGGCCACAGGGAGTTTTCAGCAGAGGCTGACTCTCTGTGCTTGTGCTCACCAGCTCTTACCTACGACCATTCCTACTGCAGAGTTAACAGGCAGCACTGTTGCCCAAAACCTAATAGTCTGCTGTGATAAAAGGTCACTAGACTGTGGGTCTGACCTCGGCCCTTAGATGAGAAAGTCATTAACCGCCCCAGCTTCGGCTTCCTCTTCTGTGAAAGGAGATTCCGTCGGAGTGAGAGTGAGCTTCCTTCCTGAGCATGCATTCACCGTATGCCCTGTGGGAGCACTGGGAAAAGCAGATGGTGAGGCTGAATGAACCAAGTGGGAAAATCTCCACCTTCCGATCTGTGGAGCTGAGACTTGCAAGCTCCTTTATGAAGGTTGTTCTGTGGGGTTTCCTGAATTAATGTCTTGTCACTGAAAGAATTCTGGCAATGCTATACCTAAATATTTTGAAATTTATCTCTTAAAATTTTGAATTTGGAGACTAGAGAAATAGTTAAGCAGTTAGGAGTGCTTATAGCTTTTTCAGAGGACATAAATTTTGTTCCCAGCACCCACATAGGCCAATTCACAGCTGCGTGTGGCTCTAGCTCCGGGAGACAACACCCTCCACACAGGTACCTGCTTACATGGCTTACATGCGGCATACACTCACACAGACACAGACACCCAGATAAAGCAAACATTAAACACCGTATAATCTTACAGTGAACAGCGAGCGTCTCTACTTTAAAAGGGAATACACAGTAAATATGAGGCCTCTTTGCTAGAAACCATGTCAGCAAACAGCATTTGATCTGGGATGACAGCTCAGTGGGTGAAGCACTTGCCAGCAGGAGGACCTGAGGTCGGATCCCCAGAGCCCACACAAAAGCCAGACACGTAGCACAGTGACCATAACCCAGTGTTCCCACAGGAAGATGGGAGATGGGTGCAGGAGAAGCCTGGGGTACACACCAGCAAAGACTGCTGGTCTCAAACAATTTGGAGGGTGCAGACCAACACCCAAGGTTGACCTCTGACCTCCCCGTGCACACTGCAAACCCCGCCCCCTCGCACACATGGCATGGGGTATCTTCTGTGAAAATGAACATTTCTAAAGATGAATAAGTTACCCGTTGTGTCCCATGTTTCTACAGTGGAATAATATCCCATGTGAGATCAGCAGTTCATGGGCTGACTTAATGAATCTAGCTGTTAGTTTTGGTATTGCTGGTGGGGAAACTTTATAAATCTTGCTACAGATCTTTAGTTAGGAAGTAGCCACCTTCACTTCTCAGCCCCAAAGACAAAGGAAAGAAGCAGGTATCTGCTAGGACTCGCACAGAGCACAAAAGAACAGAAGCCCCGTGGCAGATCCACACACAGTGACGGCAGGAGAGCACAGTGCTGATGTCCACACACCCGCCATGATGGAGCTGATGGCGGTAACAGAGTTGTGAAGGACTTCTGTGCTAACGAGAAGCGCACACAGTGAGAAACAAGGAATGTAGAACCCCCAGAGGTGATCTCTGTGTTTGAGTCTGACTCCAGGGACCAAACCGTCAGTTGCACAACCTGTAGGCCTTCTCTGTGTTTCCAGGATCAACCTTTGCTCCAACCTTCCTTGGAGTTTCTAGAAAGTCCTATATACAGTGACAGATGTAGCTCCCTAAAATACTGTCCTCACACATCACTCTCCGAGCTGTTCGGTAACTGTCCTCTAAGCCGGTGCCTTCGGTTTACATTCCCGAGGCTCCCCAATGTGGGTGATCCCAGTCACCTTCTCGAGAACCTCCTAAACTAACTTTTCACTCCAGCCAAAATGCTTGCCTTTTTTTATCAAAGGCAGCCCATCCATGTTATTCCTTTGAGAAATCCCTCCATGGCCTCTTCCCAGAATACCCCCTGTTCTTCTAACAAGGCTTTGGTGTGACAGACCATGGATCCGCTCCAGTAAGCTTCACATGCACGCTGTCTTAGTGCTGCTTTCCACTTGGTCTCTGCCTTCCATTTGAGATGAAGGCTCCATGACAGCAAAGATGCCCCGCCCCGCTTCTCTCTCCCAGCACCTAGCCCAGCGGATGCACATAATACATGCTAGCTGGTTCACCATAATTGTCTTAGGTGAACAAGAACTGTTCAGAGTGTTAGCTGTGTATGGCGGGGCATGCCTCTAAATCCTAGCGCTCAAGAGACAGAGGTGGTTGAATCTGTGTGTGTTTGAGGCCAGACTGGTCTACATAGTGGGTTCCAGGCAGCTAGGGCTATATGATGAGACCCTATCTCAAAATAAATAAATAAAGTGCTTTAAATTAAAAAAAAGATTGTGCACTTTGGGTTACCTGAATCTGGAGGTGTAATAGGATCTTTCACCAGCTTGTGAGCACTGGAGAGGTTGCACAGTGGAGTTGGGTGTGTGCTGGGCTGTGGTCACTGAGGGTGGTTCTTGGTCTTCTTGCCCATTGGAATAAATACCCTGCTTCCTCCTTGGACGCCTTCTATTTCCCTTTAAGGGGTTTAAAAATATCATGAGAATCAATAGTGCCTCTGTGGCTGGTGGTGGAAGCCAACCAGTCTTTCCCTCTGGTTTCCCTTCCTGTAAACACAGACAAAGAGGAAGTGCAGAGGAAACGCCAGAAACTCATGCCCAACTTCTCGGACAGTTTCGGTGGTGGCAGTGGAGCCGGAGCGGGCGGTGGAGGCATGTTCGGTAGTGGCGGTGCTGGAGGGAGTACCGGAAGTCCTGGCCCAGGTACGAGGAGTCTCTTCTATCTACAGCCTTTTCATGTTGGTGGGAACACCATTTTCTTTCCCCAGCTTCCAAGTGTCTGCTGCTTG